AGTGCTGCTCCGGCAGCGCGGTGACATCAGCGCTGTTTCCTGCCCGCCGGCACCGCCGCGCCGTGCGCTCGGCCCCGACCCCAGAGCCCCGCGGGGTGCTGAGCCCCAGGCAGCCCCCCGGGACCCCTCCGGAGCCCCCCGGAGACAGCCATGGAGTCGGTGGCTCTGTACAACTTCCAGACGACCGAGAAGGACGAGCTGCCCTTCCAGAAAGGGGACACCCTGAAGGTACCGAGGGCAGGGGGTCACCAGCCACGGCGGGGGGTTGGGTGCTGTTGCTTTTGGGGGGACGGGGGGGCACAGGGTGACACCGGTGCTTTCATGGCCCTGGCTTTGTTGCTTTGTTGCCTCTTTTGGGGCTCTCTGTGGGGTATAAGGAGCCAGCCTTGAGAATTTTGGGTACTGCTTGTCTGTGCCACCAGGCACATCTCCAGAGAGGGACAATCCCCATCTGGGACATGGCGTGTGGCCCCCCTGGCCACTGGTGCCACCAGCTGTGCTCTGCAGCAGCCCCCCGGGGCTGGAACACATTTTTCCTGCCCCACTGAGGCACTGGGGGCTGCAGGGATGCAGCAGCAGGGGAGCATGTGCCCAAACACCCACCCAGGCTCTGGCATCAGGACAGGCTCTTAAATAACACCTGGGAATCCCCAAAAGCATCAGGGGGGCTCAGAATACCCCCAGGGGGCTGGGGCAGCACCCACACCCTCCCCTGCTGTCCTCTCCATGGGGCTGATGCTGCAATTCTGGCAACTCCTCCTGGTCCCCTGGCACCCTGCAGCCCCCCCATGGGTGCAGCCACCCCGGGGAAGGGCGAGGGCATGGCCTGGCTGTCCCCCAGGGCCCCAAACTCACTGTGTCCATCCCTGGCTCCCGGCGTGTTTTCCCCACGGCCCCAGCCCATGGCCCGGGGTTTCAGATCCTGTTTGCACAGCTGTGCCAGCCCCGGGCCCCTGCGTGGGACAATGGAAAATGGTGTCACACACGAGTGGGTGTCAGCACCCTGCTCACACTGGGGCACTTCCTCCCATGGGGCACCCCCTGCCACCGTCCCGGGGGGCCGTGGGGCCTGGCTGATGTGCTGGCTACTCCAGGGACAGGTTTCACCCTCTTCCCTCAGGGTTTTGGGACAATGCCAGGCACCTCCCTGCTGTTGGCACCCAGAGGAGGGCTGGGGGGAGCATCCAGGTGCCCCCAAACCCCCTCAGACCATGGCACTGTTGGCAGAGCCCCCTTTCCCCAGGTTTTGGTGGGTGATGTGGGGTCTGGGGCAGCAATGGGGGTCCCACTGGGCCCCTGTCCCAGGGGAGCAGCAGCCAGGCTGGTTGATGCCTCCCTGTTCCTCTCCCCCCTTAGATCCTCAACATGGAAGATGACCAGAACTGGTACAAGGCTGAGCTGTTTGGCTGCGAGGGCTTCGTCCCCAAAAACTACATCAAGGTCAAGCCACACCCGTAAGTGCCATCCCACGGCGTGGGGAAGGGGGGCTCGAGCACCCACCCCCCAGGCAGCGATCCCAGCGGTGCATCCCAATTCCCAAAGGTCTGCCACGAGCCAGGGTAGTCCCACACGTGGGGAAACTGAGTCTCAGAGATGGGGTCTGACTGCTCAATCAGCCTGCCATTGTCACCACAGCCCGAGGGGACAGGAGGCAGCAGAACACCCACATACCCCCACACACCGAAATCCAACCCTCACGCCGGGCTGCCACTAAAAAACTGATAATTGGGGAACAACAAAGAGTTATGGGATTACAACTGCATTAGACACAATCCTATTACCGTGTTATTAAAGCCCACTGTAATCCACCCCTGATTTAACCTGTGTTTTATGGATCATTAGCCCCTGGCAAATCACATTTGAATGCCAGAGCAAGCGCGTGGGCTCAGGGCAGCCTGGGGCACATCCCGCTGGGGCACATCCTGCTGGGGCACATCCCGGGATTCAGGATGGGTGACACACAGCCTCTTCCATGCAGCACCTGGAGGGCTGGCACTGGGAGATGCTCTGTGCTGAAGTCTGTGGCTGATCATTCATGGGACAGGTAGCAGAGGATCTCCACGGCCTGAGGGCCCGAAATGCCCAGACACAACCTTGGCAGGGATGGGAGATGGGCACTCTGCTCCCCCACCTCATTTTGGCAGCTGCCATCAAAGCAGGCAGGAACTGCAAGGGCTGCTCCCGTGAGGGGCCAAGGGGCACGGAAGGAGGGGACAGGCAGCAAAGTGGAGGACGAGGCACGTGACGTGACCAGGCAGGTGACAGGATGCGGTCGCGACCGTCAGCGATGTGGGAACACCTCTGCACCCACAGCACCCCGTGCTGCCTCCCCCCACAGTAAATGGGGAGGGGGAGGGAAGGGACAAACTGCTGGGGGGGTCCCAGCCCCGTGTGGAGCCCTGTGGAGAGCCCTCTCCTGCCGGCAGCAGGGCTCTCACTGCCTCCCTCCTGCGGGTTGGGGGATGTGGCACTGGGGTGTCCCCGGCTGCCCAGGGGTGCCCAGTGTGTCTCTCCCAGGTGGTACGCGGGCAGGATCTCCCGGCAGCTGGCAGAGAAGCAGCTCCTCAAACGCAACCACGTGGGAGCCTTCCTGATCCGCGACAGCGAGAGCACCCCGGGGGAGTTCTCCATCTCCGTCAAGTGAGTGGCCCGGGGACACAGGGCAGGATGGGGGTCCCTGCAGCCCCCGACTTTGGGGACTGAGGCATCAGGTCACCCTTGTGTGGGGTCCCTGTGACAGTGCTGGGGAAGGGGCGAGCACCCTGCCCTCTCCATGCCACCTCCAAGGGGTTGGGGGCTGCAGAGCCACGTGCCCAGTGCTCCCAGCCTCGCACAGGTCTGTCCTTCCCTTCCTCTCCTTCCTCCCCTCTGTATCCCCTCACTCCACCTCCGCTGCTTCCTGCTCCCTGCGCCGCTGCCTCACCTGGGGTCCCTCCCAGGGGCACCCCCAAACACAGCCCTGTGGGTGAGGATGGAGCTGGGGACAACCTGCAGGCACAGCCCAGGGGACAGGGCCTGGGGGAACGAGCTGCCTGGAGCATCCCCAGGGATGAAGGACCACAGCATCCCAATGCCCTTGGCATCGGCAGCCAGGGCAGAGCCTATCCCCAGGCATCTCATCCCATCGCTGCCCCTTCCCTGCCCCAGCTGGGGGAGCAGGAGCTGGTCCCAGGCCAGCCAGGCACTTTCTCACACTGCTAATCCCCACTGAAGTGTTTTGGGAGGTTCTTGCCCATAATGACAGGGATTCAAGCTCTGCCATGCGTCACCAGCGCAGCAGGTCCTGCCCCTGCCCGGGGGCCTGGCGGAGACAGGTCCCTGCAGTGCAGACACCCCAACCTGGCACCCCCAGGTGCACAGGGGTGTGTACTCAGCACCACCAGGCTTTTCTCACCTTGCCAGAAGAGGGTCTGGGTGCTGCCAGCATCCTATGGCCAGGATAACATCCATCCTCCTTCCACAGCTACGGGAAGCACGTCCAGCACTTCAAGGTGCTCCGGGAGAGGAACGGCAAGTATTTCCTCTGGGAGGAAAAGTTCAATTCCCTCAACGAGCTGGTGGATTTCTACAGGATGACCACGATCTCCAAAGGGCAGCAGATCTTCCTCCGGGACGAGGACCAGGCCCAGGAGGTACAGCCATGGATGGGGCCATGGGGACATGCAGAGCTGCTCCCAAACCCCTGCATGAATCCCCTCCAGCCTCAGCATCCCCACAGAGGGGGACAGGGACATCCTTGGGACACCTGGCCCCTGGCTCTCCAGTGTGGAGCAGAGAGGCTGCAGCAGCACTGCAGGGAGGAAAAGCCCCCAGAGCAGCTCAGCGGGGCAGAACAGGGCAAGGCAGGTCACCCTGGGCATTTGTCACCATCCCTTGGGCCAGGGACGCTGCCCAAGGCGGGTGGCAGAGCCTGACCAGCCCAGGACAGGGCACAGCCAGCCTGGGGCCAACTCCAGCAAAGCCAAGCCCTGGGGCAGTGGTTGTGGAGGCAGCAAAACTGGACCTTGGGAACTGGGATGGGAGAGGCTCCAGTATCCGGGAGGGCCTGGGAAGGACCTGGGAAGGAGAGGGGTGCCAGCTGCCTCCAAAGGGAAGGTGTCCCCTGAGCACCCCTCTTGGCTCTCCCAGCAGCAGGAACAGGGAGTTTCTTGGGCTCTGGGGTGCTCCCTGCACCCCGGACTCTTCCCTGCATCCCACGCTGCTCCTCTGCACCCCAGGGTGTATCCTGCACCCCAGGGTGTTTCCTGCACCCCAGGGTGTATCCTGCACCCCAGGGTGTTCCCCTGCACCCCAGGGTGTTCCCCTGCACCCCAAGGTGCTCCTCTGCATCCCTGCCTCTACCCTGAGCCCCAGGCTGTGGCTGCATCCCAGGATGTTCCCCTGCACCCCAGGCTCTTCCCTGCACTCGGACCCATCCCCAGCATTCCACTCTTCCCATGGCAGGATTTCCCTAGCTTCCTCTCTCCCCTCGAAGCAGGCACGCCTCCCAAGGCTGGTCCTCGTCCCACAGCGGCACAGTGTCCCTGTCCCTCTGGGGACCCAAACAGTGCACCTGGTGCAGAGGGGCTGGTGGATGAGGACCCCTCTCCCCCCGCCAACCCCTGCCCTCCACTTCCCTCCAGGTGGGGAGACCGCGATTCGTACAAGCCCAGTTCGACTTCTCAGCCCACGAGGGCTCCCAGCTGCCCTTCCTCCGCGGGGACATCATCGAGGTGCTGGACTGCCCTGACCCTAACTGGTGGCAGGGGAAGATCTACGGCCGGGTCGGCTTCTTCCCGCGGAATTATGTCCATCCCATCCGCAAGTGACCCTCCCCCGGCCCCGCGGGCGCGGCAGGACCCGCCCCGCTGCCCCCACCCACCGGAGCCGCTTCGTGCCCGCACACGGACTGCGTGTCCCTTCGTCCCCACGGACCCCACAGCCATCAGAACTTTCCCAGATGACAGAACAGAGGGGGAGAGCACGTGTGCCCCAAACCTCGGCTCCTCTCCGGGCCCTGTAAGCACAGACTCACCTCCAGGGAGGGCTGCGGGCAGCCGGGATGCAGCTCCACAACCCCATGGAAGGATGAAGGGACTCAGGGTGCCAGGGCAGGCTGATCCGGGGGGCTTCAGTCCTGTGGGTGCTGTTCATAGCTGCAAAGTGTGGCTTTATAGTATTTTTTTTATTATTTAGAGCCTGTAAAATGTGTTTGGGTGATGCCCACGAGTGTGACCGTTGCCATGGTGGTCCTGTCACTGAACTCGTGCCCCCGCTGCTTTGTGGTGGTTTTGATCCATTTGCAGGTCCCATTTTCCCACCCAAATCCCTGTCCCAAACCCCTCCCAGGGACTTGCTGTCCCCACAAATGCCCCCCACACCTCACACCCCCTGGGACACACTCAGTGCTGAGAACACCCAGCTCACTGCACCAGTGGATTTAAACATCACATATCCCAGGTGCGACAAATAAAAACTATCACCCGAATCCCCATTTCCCCAGCCCCTCTCCCAGCAGCTTTCCCCCTCTCTAGGGGCTGGCTGGGCACTAGGCCAGAAGACAGCCAGGACGAAGACAGCAGTGACAGGAGGAGCCAGGTAGCTGGTGACAGCCTGGATGTAGATGTAGAGCTGGCCACCACTGGAACTCTGCAGGATGGGGATCCAGACCACGCTGAGGGCCACCACCACCACTGTGATCACCCTGTGAGCGGCAGCGAGGCAAGTGCAGGTGATGTTCCTGTCCCACCTGCACTTCTTGGCTCCTGCAGCATCACCATGGCAATGGGGGTCCCCAAAACCAGGGTCCCAGTGCCAGTGCAGGAGATGCAGGTGGGTCAGGGGGAGGACACTCACTGCTGGGTGACATCCCCAGGGCCACAGAGGGTGCTAATTATGCCTGTGCTGGTTCCATTCTGGGAAGGTGAGCACTCCCCAGGCCCCTGCCCAGCCCCAGGGGGCTGCTAAATTGGACTCCCCCATGGGAAACACCAGGCAAAGGGCACTTTCACTATGAAAAGCCACCAGCTGCAGGTGTTGGGTGCTCTGGCCAGACCTGCTCTCAGCGTCCCCATGTCCAGCCAAGGCACCCAGATGAGAACTGAGGATCTGGGCTGAGCTGCCCCGTGCTCAGCTGCCCTGGCCAGGCTGTGACAGAGGGGTGTGTTAGTCCCCAGCATCACCCTGACCTCACCCTTGCCCAAATCCCAGCCACACCCCACAGTATCTCCCTCATCCGAGGCACGAGGCATTGGCCAGACCCCAGATTTTGGGCCCAAGCCTGGGCAGGACCCATCCCAAAAGCTGCCATATTTATAGCTCAGCCCGGCTTATTTACAGAATATTATTATTCACAGAATTTCCTACATCTCCATCTGCTCATCTCGAAAAGCAGAAGTCGGAAAAAATAAGAGAAAAAATAAGCCATGAAAGCAGCCCTGGCCAGAGTCCCCCACTGCTGCCAGGTGCTGGGGAAAAGAGAACCAGCCTGAGAGTAAAATGCACACCCTGATCCACTGGGTGGGAGAATTTATAGAGAGAAAATCATAGGAGAAAAATTCATAGGAGAAAATCATAGAATGGTGGAACAGTTTGGCTGGGAAGGGACCTTAAAGCTCCTCTCATTCCACCCCCCTGCCATGGGAAGGGACACTTCCCACTAGACCAGGTTGCTCCAAGCCCTGTCCAACCTAGTCTTGATGCTAAAGGACCGTGGAAAAACACTGGAGTTGTGCGTGTGGCAGGAGCTGGGGGTGCCAGGTGCCCGTGCCCTGCTCCACACGCAGCCCCAGGTGGGGATCTGGGCAGGGATTGGAGAGCAGCAGCCGGCACAGCCTGTTGCAGGGCGCTCGGGGGGAATTTGGGAAGGACCGGGTGTTCCCACCACCACGCCACCGCCTGGGCACGGAGCACACATCAAACACCAGCGGGGATTTCCAGGCAGGCACCACGGCCCAGCTGGAGCTCCAACGCCCCGGTCCTGGAAATGGGAGCTCTTTCCTATCCCACAATCAAAGCCCTTTCCTCCCTGTGCTGGAAGGGGGTTGGAACGAGATGTGATCTCTAAGGACCCTCCCAACCCAAAGCATTCTGTGATTCCACCATCCCTGGATGGGGCATCCCCACCCTGGTGGGTCCAGGAGGCGGTTGGGCCCCCCTGGCAGCTACTCAGGAATAACCCTAAGCTGCCCATCTCTATTCAAACTTGCAGCTTAAACAGCTTTTTTTTTTTTTTTTTTCCCTCTCCAAAGCGTTTATCGTTGTCTCTATCCCCACGATCCGCAGCGTCCTGCTCGCGCTAATCACGCTAATGAAGCGCCGGGATCCACCGCAGCAGCGACTCCCGCCCTAGGCGGGCAAAGCCCTTTGCAAACACTCATTATCCATCCTCGGCAGAGCTGTCCTGCGTTGTCACACCCTTGTCACCGGCACCGAAGCCAGTGCCAGGGAGGGGCGAGGCAGGCCCTGAAGAAAGAGCCCTTCTTCCCACGGGGGAGCACGCGAGACCACCGTTCCGCAGCATCGCTGCCCAGCCCCTTCCCACCCTCCGGAGGTGGAGGATGCCCAGAAACAGCTGTTCCTGCAGCCGCTGGAGCAGCCAGCCCTCCCCGCAGCCCCAGCGCAGCCCAGCCAGAGCCCTGACCCAGATTCCCTCCCTGTTATTGTCTGCCCCGCGCCGGGGACGCTCCCGGCCCCGTGGCACCGTGCCGGGCATTCCCCAGCGCTGACTCCGCCGCCCCGAGCGCGGCACCGCGGGCGGGTTCCCGGGCTGCCCGCGGGCACCGCTCCGTCCCACGGGAGCCGGCGGGGCGTGTGTGGGCAGCGCTGCCCTTCGCCACGCGGCCAAGTTCCCCCGTGTGCTCCGTGCGTGACCTCAGCCACGGCCCGGGAGCAGCCGCGGCTCCCCCGGGGGGAAACACGGGCTGGAGGCGACGGGGAGGGGCTTCACACCGGCCGAACCGTCTGCTTTTCCAGGGCTTTCATACATAAAATAATCCTAAGGGCTTGTCTTCCTTGCATAAACCGGGCTGAGCACAGGCATTTTTCAGGCTGGACTGGCCCCACCAGTCTCCCCGAAACCCCCGGTCTGCCCGAAAGCCCCGGTCAGTACCTGGCCACGAGGAGCAGCTCCCGGTCACCGGCCCCGGCCGCAGCTTCTTCCAGATGTCCGTGGTGAAGAGGGTGCTGCTGCTGTTGAATATGGAGGTCAGGGATGACATGAGTGCTGCCATCATCACTGCCATCATCAGACCCCGCAGCCCTGGGCAGGAGAGGAAGTGTCAGAGAGCGGCTGAACCGGGAGAAACAACCCCAGGATAACGCCTAACTCTCTACAGGCACTCTCTGGGACCTCCTCTGGGAGAAGGATGGGGTTTGGGAACCCTCAGCTGCACCCTGGGATGCTGAGACCCTGCTGTGCCCCAGGGTCACCCACATCCCCTGACCTGGCCTTTGGAGCCACCCTCGGAGGGGCTGCATGGGCTGTCCATGCACAAACCCCTGGACCATTCATGGGGTCCCCCACAACACAACCCCCCCCCAGACCATCCATGGGGTCCCCCCCAGCACCCAAGCCATGGCAGCAGCCCCAGGGTGCAGCAGAGCCCAGTGGAGATGCAGTGACCCCCTCCCACCCACCTACTGCTGGGCATCAGCTCCACCACCAGCTTGGGGCAGGCGATGTTGGAACAGCCCACGGCAGCCTCACAGACACGGGTGCACTCCTCGGGGTCCACACAGGCCACAGAATCTGGGGGACAGAAGCAGGTGACAAGTTGAGACCCCTCACAGGGCAGGGGCAAGCCCTGCACCCCCTCTCACCCACTCCCACTGTGGCAGGTATTGACCCTTCACCACAGCCATGATGCCCAGACCTTTGCAGGGGGCTGGGTGGAGCAACAGGGAGCACATCCTGTGTGGAAATCCACCTCTGCCACCCCCACTTTATTCTCCCATCAGCCTCAACACAGCGGGATCCGTTCCAGCAGCATCCCCTCACCTCCTGCTGCCCTTACCCAGCACCAGTTGGATCTACTACCACATTAAATCCACTGACAGCTGCCCTGGGGGGACCTCCAGAGCCCCACCAGGACCCGGGGCCACAGCCAGAGGTGTCAGAGCCCCAGGGCAGGCACTGCCCATCCCCACACACGGGGCCAGCCGGGTTCCTGCACCACTGTGGCAATTTCCAGGGCATGGGCAGCTCCAGCAGCTCCCGGGACACGCGTGGCACCATGCCAGGACCATCAACCCCCAATTATTTCTATGGCTCAACGAGCGCTGAACCCTTTTTTTTTTTTTTTTTTTTTTAATTGTTATGCTCATAAAATATTGAAATAGATGGAAATTAATGTCAGGCATAAATATGGATGGGCTGCCTGGCTCTCTGGTCCACACCCACCCTCCCAGGAGCACCGGGACGAGCACGGGGTGATCCCTGTGATGGCAGGGAGCATCGTCCTGGTTCTCCCACGTGGTGACCCCCAGCCCAAGTGAGTGAGGGGCAGCCCTCACCCCTGGTTTACCTGAAACACCAGCTGTTGACACCTTGGGGCTTTCCAAAAAGGAGTGTGGGGTGCACTGGGAGTGTGACACGGTGTGCGCAGACCACAGGCAATGCTCAGCACATCCCTGGGATGTCAAAAAATCCCAGCCTGGGCCGCCCTTCCCCAAGGTGAGAGCCAGCTCCAGGGCTGCGGTGACTCCGTCCCCCAGCAGCTGTGAGTAAAGCTGCCATCACCACTCCCTGCCTCATTTTCCCCTCTAAACCACCACGTTGTGCTCGGCTCCATGCAAATGGTTGCTGGCTGGAGGGTGGAAGATGCTCCAGAGGGCAAGGCAGTGTCTGCAGTGTTATATTCCAGCCGAAACGCCCATCCCAGGGCTCAGCTCAGCCGTGGAACCCCTCGGTGGGATCCTGGAGAGTGTGGGAAGCGGGAGCAAAGTCCAACAGAGCGGCCAGGAGCAGAGCCCAGTGTTGGGCCCCACTGCCTCTTTTAGGCCCTCTGCTAGAGATGGAAAATTAATGAGGAGCTTGTAATGACTGCTTCCATCTGCAGCCAGGAGGAGCTGGCGCAGGAGCGGGGCTGTGTCTGCACCAGGTGCTGCCTGTCCGGCTGGATCAGCCCAGGGACACCTGGAATGGTGGGGACCGAGCTGCTCAGCCACAGCAACCTGTCCCTGCAAACAGGGGTGGAATTTGGGTGCCGAATTCACTGTGTGGGGCAAAGACTCCTGGGTGAAGAAGCCCCCAGGATCCGGGGACGGGGGATCCAGGTGTGCTCGCCCCATCCAGGGATCAGGTGATGTTCCAGATCAGGAGCTCTGCCATCCCAATCCGCCCCCACCAGCTGGCTCCGGGAGCCAGCGCATCACACGATGGATGGGATGCAGCACTTACACCACAGGCAATAAATCATTAGCGCACACACCCCGCAAAACAGCCCGTAAATCTCCTGGCACAATAAAAACAGCTGGAGCAGGTGGCAGTGGCTGAGGTGGGGACAACCACAGCACACTCCAGCCACGCCACGCACACCCACGCTCCATGCACTGATCCAGGGCATCTCCCAAGCTACCCAAGGGGGGACAACAACTGGAATGAGGTCCTGGAGCCCTCCGTGGGGGCTGTCTCAGTGCTTGGCTTTGTCACATTTACTGTCCCCTCCTCATCAGGGCTGGAATTTCACCTAAAACATCCAGTTTGGGCTCCAGCACCCTCTGTCTCTGCTGTACCACTCAATGGCCAGGCCACGGCATGGAGGTGACATCCCACCACTGGGAAACCCCTGAGGGGTCAGCACAGCCTTTCCATAAATTCATCAGGTCCACCTGAAACACCTCCTGAGCTGATGATATTTGGTGGGAGCCAAACACTTAATTCCCCCTACACTGTAGATGTGGCACTTGGGACATGGTTTAGTGCTGGACCTGGCAGTGCTGGGCTGGACTTGATGATCTTGGAGGGCTTCCCCAGCCTGAATGATTCTATGATCCCAATGAACAGCTGTCACATCCCTGCATCCCCAAACCCCGCTGCCACCTCCTGCAGGGGACAAACCAGGGCTGGGCACAACCCCACGCATGCCTTGTCAGTGTGGGACGAGCAGGGCCACCGTGCCTGCAGAGAGGAGCACTTTGATGGCCGAGCAGCTGGGCAGACGGGCGGCTTCGCCTCGGGAGCCTGACTCAAGCGGGGCCCTCATTTACCGGGCTGCAGATCCAGCTGAGCCGCACCAAGGCGAGGGAGGGAGCGAGACACAGCCCATGGCACTTTCCTTTTTTTTTGCATTGGCGCAAGAATCTGACCCTGATTCCTGAAATTCGTCTCCATCTGAGCTTCCAGGAGAAAGGTCCACGTTTCTGGCTTGTGAGGCACCAACCGGTGAATCCAGGGTGGGGTTTTTTGTCCGTCTCCCAGTTATGAGTGAAATCTGCCAGAGCGAGGTCTGGTGACGTGACCGTGTCCATGTCCCTGCTGCAAACCTTGGAGAGGAAGAGACTGGACAGGACAGAACAGAATAGAATATTTTCAGTTGGAAGAGCCCTCCAATGATCTGGTCCCGCTGTGTGACCAATTCAGGGCTGATAAAAAAATTAAGGGCATTGTCCAAATGCCTCTTAAACACTGACAGGTTTGGGGCATTGACCACCTCTCCAGGAAGCCTGTTCCAGGACTGAACCACCCTCTCCCTAAAGAAACGCTTCCTAATATCCTGTCTAAATCTGCCTCGGTGCAGCTCCGACCCGGTGCTGCCCCCTGGGACCCACCTGGGCTCGGAGCTCCCACGCCAGCACAGGAGGGGTTAACCACAGGACAGAGCTGTTTTCCTGGAAAATATTGACTTACCAGCTGGCACACCGGGAGAGGGAGGGACTTCAGGGGAGAGACGCGTGCCTTTTTTTTTTTTTAAGACAAACATCCAAAGCCCTCCCCAACCTCCCACCACCCTCTGACACCCACGCACTCCGTGGGGGGCTCCCAGGCCGGGTCTCAGGCGTTGAGGACACACCGGCCGAAAGAGTTAATCGGGGCAGGGCAGGGAATGTGTGAAGGCAACATGTGACTGCAGGTGGGGCAGGGCGGAGGGATGAATCACTCTTTTCCTTTTCCTCTTTTCACTTCTTGCTGTTACCTGTCCGGCCCCGGCACTGCGCGCTGGCAGGAGCCCCGAGCCACCGACCTGCCAAGCCAGGGCGATGCACAGCAGGCTGACGGGGAGCGTTCGCCGCCGCGGGACCCACGGGCTGACCCGCTGCTCCAGGGGGGATAACCAGGGACGGCGTCTCGGCCGAGAAATCCTGCTTCTCGCTGCCCTTCACTGAGCCACTTTTCGTTTCTTTTTAACACTTTTTATTTCGTCCGTTAGCGTTGTCTTGGGAGAGCGGAGAATGAGGAGAGCGTGGACTCGGAGGTGAAGGATCTTCCCGGTGGTGCTCACGCACCTGGGGCTGTCTCTGCCCCGTCACACAGCCCCGGCCGTGGGAAGCTCCGTGTTTATCTTGCCTGGAGCCCTCTCACCCAGCGGAGCCGGGAGCGAGCCAGAAACCAAATCCTCCTCCCCGGCAGAGAAGAGCTCCGGCGCGGCAGGAGCCGTTCGAAAAGGGAGCGGTGCCTTTCCCAAGCTGCCCGTCGAGCCAGGGAGGGCGAAGTGAAGGGAATTGCGTGTTTAAAGACTGGAGAATAATTAATTCCTTATTTATTGCCGACATCCGGCGCTCGCTGGGGGCACAGAGCTCCCCCGGGAGAGGCTCGCGGTCACCATGGCTTTCTCCCAGGTGCAGTGCCTGGACGACAGCCACGTCAACTGGAGGTCCAGCGAGTCCAAGCCCGAGTTCTTCTACAGCGAGGAGCAGCGCCTGGCCCTGGAGGCGCTGGCCTCCCGCGGCCGAGACGCCTTCTACGAGGTCCTGAAGAGGGAGAACATCAGGGACTTCCTCTCCGAGCTGGAGCTCAAGAAGATCCTGGACACGCTGGAGACGTACGACCCCGGCTCCGAGTACATCCCGCGCCACGGCAGCAGCGCGGGGGGCAGCGAAGGGGATGGCAAGAGCCAGGGGGACGAGCAGGACGTGGCTCCTTCCCTGGAGTACTGGCCCCAGAGGTCCGACCGCTCCATCCCGCAGCTGGACCTGGGCTGGCCCGAGACCATCGCCTACCGCGGGGTCACCCGCGCCACCGTCTACATGCAGCCACCCATCGAGGGGCAGGCACACATCAAGGAGGTGGTGAGGAAGATGATCTGCCAGGCTCAGAAGGTGAGGTGCGCCGCGGGCACGGGGCAGGACGTGCCCCAGGGCGTCCTGCTGGAGGTCCTGCCCTGCCGGGTGGTGCCTGTCCATGCCCAAGCAAAGGCAGCGCGGGCATCCGTTCGGGTTTCTCCGTGGAACCGATGTTTGGGGATCAGGTCTCGCTGAGGATGCTGTTCCTCTGCTCCAACGCTCCCTGAGAGCAACACAACCCTTCCCATGGTCCGTGTGGGCGCGTCGTTAATCCCAGGGTCCCTGCAGGGCTGTGGGGAAAATCGCTGTGGAGAAAAACGGGTCGAGCTGCGAGGCCGCAGTCCCAGGCACCCCACAGTTGCTGTTCCCAGGGTGACAGCACGTGGCAGCACGCAGGGACCTGGGGTCACAATCTGGCTGTTTGGCACACGACCCAAGGGTCATGGTCTGGCCTCTGTCCTTGTGTCCACTGTCTGTCCAGCCCACGGCCCCGAGACCCAGTGCAGCCCTGGGGCGACACAGCCACAGCCTCTGGCCTGGCACTGACACACACGAGGGTCGAGCTTTGCCCAAGAGAGCTGTGCTGCTCCAAGCTGGCCTCATCCTGGCTTCCAGAGGAAAACGATGAGCTGGTGAGCAGGACAAGGCTGGGCAGATGCTGAAGGGGTTTGGGTTGAGACTTGTCCTCCCTGTGTCATCCAGCCAAGGGAGTGGGGGTGCGTGAGCAATGGGGTCAGGCCGGTGTCAAAGGGCAGGAGGACCACGGAAGGAGGGAGATGATGGCATGTGTTGAAGGCTGGTGGTGGCACACAGAGGTTGCTGGTATTTTCCAGTGATCCAGTCCCAGCTGGGAAGTGCAGAAGGGGTCAGGACCTGCTGGTTTCTCGGTGCTTTGAAGCTCTTTGAGTTCTGTGCGTCCAATACTGCGAGAGCTCCAAGGAAGGAGTATCCCAACCCAGGCGATGCTTCAGCAGGAAAACAGGGAGACACTGCCAGGGTGGCTATGGAGCAGAGAGAGACAGGCTGGGATGCATCAGGTCCACCTGGCTTCTCCAGGAACAGGGCTGGGGTTTGTAGATCCTAGCAGGAGAGAGGGAAACCTGGTGACATGCAGCCATCAGAGCTTCTCCAGGGCCACGGGACCAGAGGTCTGAGCACGAAGAGCCCCAGCTCAGGCAGGAAAACTAATCTCCTGACACATCCAAGGCATCCAGCTTACAGGAAAGGCTGATGGGGTTGTGGGCAGGAGCCATCTCTGGCCCCTGTCACCTCACAAAAGTCAGAGTGACCTGTCCTTACCTGTGACATTTTCCCCACCAAAGCGCTTTGCAGTGAGGGCAAAGGGAAGGCAGGGCTGGAGAATGGGAGAACCATCCCACAACAAATAATGTCTCATCCCCGGGTCTTTCCAGCTGCCTCTGACTCGGCCTTGCGGCTCCCGCCTGGCTTTGCCTACTCACGGCTTCCCACCTGCCCCCACGCCAGCAGCACCTCCTGAGTCATCCCACGGTGGCTGAGTCAGGCAGCTGCACATCCCCACCTCCCCTGGGAGCCTCTCCAAGCCACAGGGCCGTGGTTGATGCTGCTGTGATCATCACCAGCACCTTGATGCCCCCTGAGCAGGGCTGGGCAGCAGAGCTGCCTCCTGGTCCGGGTGGTCCCTGCCGGTGGGATGAGGCGGGGTGACACCACTGGTGACACGCAGGAGAGCCTGCTTGGAGCTTGTGGCACCCCGGGAAACACAGAGATGGGTGAGTGCTTCATCCTGCAGGGTCTGGGGATGGCAGGAGTTGTGGGATCTGGCATGAGGGTTCTTTCATGGTCTCCCACCCCACATTCAGGGACCACGGTCACTGCAGCTGAACATGCTGTCACACCTCGGAGCCCAGGGGACCACTTGTGGGTGCTCCTAAGGGTGGGGGACACTGGCATAGACCACCTCTTCTGTGCCTGCTGATTTTAGCCAAGGCTTAAGGTCTTCATGGCAGTTCAGAGGTGAAAGAGTTCGGCTGAGAAGCTGAGAGTGGACAGAGGGACTGTCCTGCTGATGTCACACAGGGCTGGCCATACACTCTGTCCTCCCTGGGGAGATCCCTGCCGAATTGTCCCATTCCCACCAGACACCAGCAGTGCTCTTCATCCACCAGCAAAGGGGCACAGACCTCGGAGAGGTTCACTGTTACATCCCAGAGGATGACCCTTGCTCCAGGCATTGTCCCAGATCCTCAGTCTGAAATGTTCCCAGGTGCTGAACCCCAAACCCCGCTGCAGGAGTTGCTGTCCCGTGGCCAGAAGAGCAAAGTCCCCTGACAGGTCCCAGCCGAGGAAAGTTCAGATCCCATGTGAGAGCTGCTGGTTCTAGGAAGGTCCTGCAGGCAGAGCTGGGGTGAGGAAGCAGAGAGCTGGCACGGGGGGCTGCTCTGAGGGTGCAGATGGACCCTGTTGCTTGCAGGGATGAGATCAAACACAGCTGAGTTCAGAGCCTCGAATCCAGGCGTGCCAGGCAGGGAGATGCAAATGATCCTCTCCTCTTTCTGGGAATAAAGGGGAGAGAAGAGAGGCAGGATCCTGTGGCCATGTCCCTGGCTCTCCCTGAAAGTCCCCATCTTTGTGGCCAACAAACAGAGGTGGTCAGGGATGTGATGCACCCACCAGGCTTCACCCTGGAGACCTTCACCAGGTCCTGCCATGGTACAGCCATCTCTTCCTCGCTGCAGATCCCCTCAGTCTGCAAAGCTCACAGGATGGACATCAGGAGGAATTTCTCCATGGAAAGGGTTGTCAGGCATTGGAAGGGGCTGTCCAGGGAGGTTTGGAGTCCCCATCCCTGGAGGTGTCCAAGGAAGGACTGGCCATGGCACTCAGTGCTCTGGGCTGGGGGACAAGGTGAGGATGGGTTACAGGCTGGGCTTGATGATCTTGGAGGTCTTTTCCAACCTCAAATGATTCTGTGATGTGTAGGAAGGCTTCCTCTCCTCTTCTCTAAATTTTGGCTCTGTCTGACCAGTAACCAGAGCAGGCTGAAACACTGACCTTGGCCCAAAGCCACTGGAGGGAGCAGCGACTCTGACCTCCTCTCTGCACCTGAGGTTCCAGGTTGGGATTGTGGTGATATAATTACCCTGAGCAACTTCCAGTGAAGGTTGGGAGGCCCTATTAATTACTGTTTACAAAACCTTCCTCCATTCCTGGATGAAAGGGTCGACAGGGGAGAGCAATTATTAATGTTACTTGTCCCACCTCTCCTCCATCCCAACACGCTTCCTCTAATTGTGTCTTGGTGCCTGCCTAATTTATTAAATGCCCACGTGGTGTGCCCCAAAACTCATTATCTGATGATTCAGAGTGAGCTAATAAAGAGCTGCAACTTCCTCTATAAAACATGATCCTGCGGTGCTCATCAAAGCTGCTCCAAAGGATCCCAACAGCACTTACCTGGTGTCTGGGGGGATGCCATGCTCACCACTCCTCGTGGGTTTGGGACCTGCCCATCTGCTGTATCCAGTGGATCCTGGCAGCTCCTGGGACCCCGGGAAGAGAAGCATCCCCCTGGTGGGCACTGGGAGCATCCAGCTGTAGATTTGGGGCTGATTTCCTCTGCATCTTCCGTATGAATGGCAAAGGGATGGCAAAGCTTCCTGGGGTGCCCTTGGCAAGGGGATTTGGAGAAAGGAGAGGTCCTTGCAAGGAGCGCTGCCCTGGTAGAGG